GATCATGTTCTCCAACCTCTGTTCGTTCTACTTTGCTTGTTCCATGATCGCTTTCATTGCCTCATGCTCTGGAGTCGAGGGTGATGCGAAGTTCAAAGCTTGTCTTGCGGGGATAGTCTCCGGTCCAATCATGTTTGTTAGAGTGAGGTCGTCTCTCTGCGTGGTTTCATCAGTGACTATCGGAGGGTCTTCCATTATGCCCGCCATGGATGTATTTGAGTATTCCCACAGACGGCACCATTTATGGAGAAGTGGTTTGGAAATACTCTTCTGATCTTGTGGGACGTTAGTGATCCTCTGCTAGTCACCTGAAAAGGAATAAACACTCCAGTCGTGGGTACCGGAATTAGCACTCCGACGGACAGGTTAGTCTCTACACTCAGGATTACTTGTATTCTAAGTTAAGCACAATAGTTCTCACATACCTTCCTCTGACTGATGATCTTGTATTTATATTACGCTCCTTCTTGGGCCTCGGGAATGAGCCCACTGTCAATTTGCCGTGTAATTGTCTATTCGGGTCGGTTCGCAACAAATCGTTTCTTATTCGGCCCCATATTCAATCGGCTATACGACCGAATAGGGCAGGATTTCAACTGCGGGACGGGGTCGAATGAAATATATGCTTCGACCCGGGTCCGAACATTCGGCCTCTCCATAAGTCCCAATATTCGGCCCCTACACTTCTGTATAAGCATCAATAACCTGTAACAACAACACACGCATCGGAACAACCACCATTTCTAACGTTAGCAAACAACCAAATACAATACAATACACTACGCATTACATAACATATTTTCAAACCTTACAATAACACTTACATTGCCCCGTATAACACCTTGTCAGATGATCGATTTGACATCTGAGAAATAAACAGCATTACCATTACCACGCCTAACCCACATGACGACCCTACACATACGTGCACAGAACAACGACAAATATACTGCAACCTATCAACCCAATGCAATTGTCACACCAACAACAATCGAAAAAACAAATAAATAATACTCACCCATCGCCGTATCGGTCATAAGCAGCACTGACAATGTCCTTCTCACGCTCTGTGAGCATTTTCCATACCGCATGCCTATTATTAATGCCAAAATCGAAGAACTTATAATCACCTCCCCAACTGCATCCACATCAATCACTTTGGCATTCGCCATATTTCTAACGTTACAATGGGAAACACCCGACATCACCTTACACCCGTCGCTGTTCACATTTCGATCTCTCACCTGCAAAATTAGATATTCAAATTCTAGCAAGTGTACATTTTTCCTCACCTTACCTTTTATGTTATGCACAAACGAGTTCGGCCCATCCGCCTTCTTCCTACCCTCCCCTCTCGTCAAACTAACAACAACCACATCATGTTCGTCCACCTCAAAAACATTTGCTACTACGATATGATCCACTATGTTAGACATAGCAAGAGCGACTGATACGGGGGAGGCATCTAACACATTTTCCAAATAGTTAGCGACAATACGTTTCACTCCTGATTATGCGGTCCCCCCATCACAACTCGGCCCACCATCTACACCACCACTTCCTATAGTCGCTCCTTTGAACCGCTGCGTAACATTATGAACCGCATGATCTACCAATTGCTCTTCGAGGACAATAATACTTCTCCTTAGCTCTACATTTTCCATTGTCAGTCTATTGTTCTCTTCCTCTTTCACCCTCAAAACACTCTCAAACCCTCAAACCAGGTGTACCTCCTGCATCTCATTTTTCTTCTTCCAAGCAACAACTTCTTCTTCCAACTTCAATATTCGTTCATTTTTGTCCATGTTTTGCATCACTGACGTACTGGCTACAACATCTGCATCATCACCAATACATGCTAACTTGGGTCGTACCACGCTTCGTTGTCCACACATGATCAGAGTTGAAGGCAAATCACCTCCATCATCATCGCTACTGCTACTGTCATTAGCAACCTCCACATCCACATCACGGCACGACCTACACGTCCCCGTCTCAACATCCCCTCATATCCCAACATCATTACCGTTGATGCCCATTTTCCCATCCACCACGTGGATTACACATTCTCCAACCAACATAGCAAGCTCGTGCTCCTTAGGAACCAATGGTCCCGGTCTCACCTACAGCCAACATACAGGATTAATTGATGACATGCATGCCAAAAACACCATATTTGATGTCACTATTTCAAAAATTTCACATACCATGAACTTAATATTTCCTAACAACTTCACACCACATGCCTTTGCATTCAACTCGCTAACGTTCCACTTCAAGAATCTCGAGAACATATGTGTGGCTTTTGCTCCAACAATCGATGTGTGCTCACACAACCAATACTACAACACATAACAAAACAAACCAACAAAACAATCGTCACAAGTAAATAACATAATTCATTACAGCAAAAACATAAACACACATCTAATGCGATAAATACCAAGTACATATTGTTTATTGTACTAACCAACAATGCAATCACACATGTGGTCACTTTATGTGGTGTCCGATGGAAATCCCACACAGAACACATCAACATACTATCGCGTCGATGTTATCCATGTACCGAATAAAGGCCCAACTTACATTCTCCCCAGATGTTGAAAAAAACAATTTCATACATGCATACAAACATAACAGTTTCATAGTGTCCTCATAATCTATCGCCGTCTTCCTTGCTGCTGCGTCAACCAGCAAGTCCCTTACAAGCTTTGTAGTAATTCTACTTACACCACGACACCTCTGTTGCACAAAATCCAATGCAGGCCTAGGTTGTGCCGTCAAATCCAAGAATGCAGTGCCACATTTTAACCCAAACAACAACCTCACATCCTCGTCCGTAAAATCAACCCCACGACCCCCAATCACGAACTTCCCCTCGCGCACGCTGTAACACTATATGACGTTCACCACCAAATCATCACCTTTTCTGAACTTGTTGTGGTCCAGCTGATTAATCAGTATAGCCTCGAATAGCACCCAGAATGGAGTCTTACGTAAATGAACAAGGTGCATTTCTGTTAACTTCACTGCGTACACCATTTCACTAAGCCTGCGATGTTTGACCGGAAATTTAGTATTTGTTTCGAACGTCTACGAGATCCCTCCACACCAGTCCCAGGGTTTGTTTGGTTGAACAAATTGCGTCCTGGCATGGTAGTCCCAATTTCATGAGATGTCAATCCACCCTTCGTTTCTTTGCGCTTCCGTTCACATGACCTCGTCCATAGAATGACACACCGTTACGCAGTAAACAAGTACAAACAATTGTACGTACACATAATAATCCAAAGCCACACCCCATCAAACAACGTAATCGCGTTGCACCAAACGCACCATTACCCTTCACAACATGTAAACACCAACAAGTCCCACCAAGGTTAACACAAAAACAAATAACATAGAACGCAACGTGTCCATGTTGCTACACACATACACATTAAACAGACCGCCACGACAACCTTCAAATACCGTATTATTTTACGTTATCACGTGTCAATAATGGACAACGTACATGCAAACACACATTCCCCCACATACCCCCTTCGCACAATAGGCCAACCTCATGATAAATTGCACATTGCAGCATTTTTGAGTTACACGTTAAACACATTGAGCCTTATTTGCACATAAAACCCAACAACACAAATACGACATTTAGAATATCCCTTCTGTGTTACATGACCCCAGACAACATCGTGTTAACATTAACATATACATTCCAACCATCAAACCCCTCACCACAAACCATACAACAAAACAAAAGCGTGAACGCATAGATGTGGTCCCTCACATTCAAAACGTAAACATCATTACAATAACATATACACGATTGACAACACACACACATCACATATGAAACATATACAACACTACACATACATTTCTAAGAACAATAATCAAATCACAACACACACAAGGCAACCCCAAAGTCTGAAACACACACAGTTCACACACTTACACACACCATTAAGACAAATACAGAACACTTATGTTTTGTAGACATTTTGCAAATCTCTGTTCGGCTACGGTGATGCCCCACCACTCTGCTCGTCTACGGTCACAACAAATTCACCTAATCTACTCAAACTAGGGTTTCCTATAACCAAAAAACCCTAAAAATCAAAACAATCTATCCGTAACCAATCCAACTAAACATTCCTAAAATTCTCGCTTAATCTCGATTGTGGGACGCAATCACATGAATTTGAAATTTGAATTACGGGAAACCACAACCAAGATGACGTAAGGTTCCATCACTTTTGGAACGTTCCCTGTTCCCAAATTGAACTTCTAATGTTTCCAATTGTTGGATTATCCCCCACCCAATTTTTTTGTAATGTGGTTCATGTTGGAACACCTAATTTCGAAACGGGTGTAATTGAATGGATTGGTTCAAAATGTATAAGGGCAAGCGGGTCACTATGGGCCCCACTACATGACTTCACACTTCAAAAATGGGCCAAATCACACTCACACGCCATGTTTGCACACGCACATCTACTTCGCCTATACTTCGAAACATTAAAAGAGTACTATTACGTTTTTTTTGGTAACGTGAAACACACGCACCCTTACTCTCATAATTACATTAACAATTTTTGATAATAGTTTGATCAATTGCAAATTAGTAAATAACCAGTCAAAAGGATTACATTGTTAATAAGAAAACATTTGAGACCATATGAATTACAAGACCGAAATATGAGATTTATTGATATAAATTTTTTTTTAAGATTTTTTTTTTTAAGTTATAAAATCCACATGGTAGATTCTTTGAGGGGGGTGTGTGTACGGTCTTCACCGTATAGGAATACAACCTTGTTTCTCATGTACTGATCAATTGCAAATTAGTAAACAACCAGTCAAAATGATTACATTGTTAATAAGAAAACATTTGAGACCATATGAATCACAAGACCGAAATATGAGATTTATTGATATAAATTTTTTTTTAAGATTTTTTTTTTTAAGTTATAAAATCCACATGGTAGATTCTTTGAGGGGGGTGTGTGTACGGTCTTCACCGTATAGGAATACAACCTTGTTTCTCATGTACTTGCGAACCTTAAATTTCAATTTTTCCATAAAGTAGAAGAATCAAAGATCAATACGTCCTCTCTCAAACATCGAATCGATTCTCCGATTCGTTTTCCGAACCCATGTCGCATTCCCTAAAATCCTCACGAAAAATATTTTCCAGGAATCTATAAATCCGATCTCTCTCTTTTCGCTTGCATGGCCGGTCAAATCATGACCCTTGTCAGGTTCGATGTCTTTGTGTATCTATCTGTGTCTGTATATGTATCTATATAATTGAATTGAGCTATGTTTGCTAGTCCCCTGGTTATTCTAGATTTTTATTTTTGTAGATCTCTGGTCCCAAATCAGACGAAGCGGATCATATCTGGCAATCAGGCTTCTGTTCTTGTTCGACTAATCTGTGGAGTTTCTTAACTGGTATTTTGTTCTCATCTCTCAGCTTAACTTCCTAGAAAGAGAAGGAAAATTGAAGAAAAGAAAAGAAAATATTGAATCATTATACCATAACCAAAGTCAAACAGTAGTGTCGGCTTCAGTTTATTCATATAACTAGAATTTTTGGTTACCTGCACATTTTCTTGGCAACCAAACAGAGGCTTTGATTAGTTCTACTTTGTTGGTGTTCTTAGTTTCAGTCACATTTGATTAGATTCTTGATTTGTTTTGGTCAGATTCTTGATTTGTTTGCGGGTTCGCACGACACTGTGTGTAATTTGATTCAGTCCTGGTCATTTATTTGTAATGCAATCCACTGAGACGGAGGAAAGGAAGAACTTGAAGCGTTCAAGATCGTTCCCTCGCGAGATGCCAGTTACCGATACCACTGTTTCAAAGAATCTTGACGATTGCATTCTTTTTCCTGTTGAAGAGATAGTGCAGTATCCATTGCCCGGTTATGGTGCACCGAATTCCATCAGTTTCAGTCCTGATGATAGTTTGATAACCTATTTGTTTAGTCCTGATTACAGTTTGAATAGGAAAGTGTTCACATTTGATCTCAAAACATGTAAGCACGAGTTGTTTTTCAGCCCTCCTGATGGTGGGCTTGATGAGAGTAACATATCGGCAGAAGAGAAGCTGAGGAGGGAGAGGTTGAGGGAGCGTGGGCTTGGGGTAACACGGTATGAATGGGTGAAGATGAACTCGAAGAAGAAGACAATCATGGTGCCATTGCCTGCTGGGGTTTGTTTCTCTGTCTCTGATATTAATCAATATTTTTAGCCTTTTGTCATTTTAATGAAATGTCATTATTCTATCTTTGAATTGTTCTATTTCTTGACTTTTGAACTTCTTTCTCTGGCATTGCTTGTTAAATGTCTGCATTATTAGGGAGTGAGAGGAAACCATTCATTGGAATTGGCTTCACCCTGATAATAGTTGTACAGTTCTATGATATGTGAATGCATATACTAATGGGAAATACCATGATTACTTCTAGGAAAATTTGATGAATGGCAATTATATTTGAATTTTCTACTGCCAACAGGACAAATTTCCAAGGTAGGTATTAGATCTGGTTATTCTAGATGTGGAAAATCTTACTAGTTTTGTATTTGTTGAAGAAGTTATTTGTAAATCTGCACAGAAAGCCTTTAAATGACATTTTCTTCACTTGATGTGGTATTCTAGTTTTTTAATATCCTTTTGTTTGTGTATGAACATTGTTCATTCTACTGCAGAATCATAATGCCAATAATCAAACATGTATTGAGTTTAGAATGGCCAAGAAGGCAAGAACAGATTTGTTTGTCTTATTTGGTATCAAATATGAAGCATGGACACTTCAAAAAACATGCCGTACCCGTACCGGGTACTTATCAGCGTATGGTACTATGGTACTTCTACAAATGTACCGGATATACGAAATATGTATTCAAATTTTTTCTTCTTAATTTTTGGCGTACCCAAATGTACTTAGTATATACCTAAGTCATACCGTACCTCAGTTGAAACAATATTTTCTTCTACTACAGAGATAAAACTCCTTTCACTAGATTTCTTTTTTATTTTTTGTTTTATGCTTAGCATAATTTTAAAATTAAGTTATGATTTGTAAGTTATTTAATATATTGACATTTAATTTTGATATATACCTTTACTTTTGACATTAAATGTTAATTATATGTTGGACCTTAATAAATTAAATCATTTAATTAATTTTTGCATTACTCTAAATTAAAAATAAATATTTTTTTACAAGCGTACCAAATCATATCTGTACCTTATTTTTTTTTAATTTTACCGTATCGTACCAACACTCCGACCTGTACTCGTACCCGTACTCGTGCTTCATAGGGTATCAACAACCATAAGAACAATGTGTACCGACCGAGGCAAAGATTAGAAAAATACATATTAAAACAAATGATTTGGAGGATGGTAATCAGACAATTATTGACCTGTGAAAATAGGTGGAGAAAACAAACAAGCAATTATATAAATGATAGAAATATGTTCAGGGAGGGTAAAAATTTCCCGTTCTTCCCCTTAGCCCCAGTTCCCTCATATGCAGTTTTGGGCCTTTTGGCAACTTACTCAAGTTGCAAACCAAGTCTGGTCATCTTTGAGAAAAAAATTTATAGTTTGCTGTCCTCATATCTGAGGGGTACATCAATCAAAAGCTAAACTTTTACTAAATGTGGTTATCATGTACAAAGAATCCTCAATGTATAACAACTTTAAGAAACAAGTGAATTCTGTTCCCCTTTCGGATACTTTCGTAAGCAAGCTTCTGACATAATGAAATAAAAATAAAAATGAACCGGATGCTTGTTTTAAATTTCCCTAATCATAGCATACATACTGCAACATTTTTTTTTTTGAGCAACAGAGACAAACATTCTAGTTTATTGTCCTTCATACATGCTACATCTTACATATGCACACAAATACTTAGCTCACATTCTCTCTCCCTCTCCCTTTAGATCCCTGTCATTTTTATGTGAAATTGCATTTTTAAAAGATTATGAGACATTGAGATGTTATCTTCAATGCTAATTTTAAAAGTTTATGTGCATGTCAAATATGTCATGCATGTGCATTGGGAAATTTTGTACATGTGCATCTTTTACATGCAGCAAGTATTGGTTTTCTGGGATGTTTTTTCATTCCATTCAATTCTATTTTTGTACTTAAATCTTATTCCTTTATAATGCCAAGCCTTTTTCTTACTACTATGCTATATGAGCCTAAGCCTTGCATTGCAAAGGAAAACTTTATCTTCACAAATCTGTCACAACTACCAGAATTTTTTCGAAGTTGATAGTTTCTGTCAAGTTTCTAAAATTTCAATGGTTACTATTTGTATTGATTTGAGTCTAAATAAGAATTCCTGGTCAAAGGATAGCTTTTTACTCAAATTGAAATGAATCAATAATAAAACGTACTACTCAATTTGTATTATGTTAATCTGAAGTCTGAATTTGATTACCTTGTAAAAAGATGAGCTGGTATACTTTCCATTTGAATCCTACTGTTGTCTACTGAGCTCAAAAACATGTTTGCATACAAGGAGTAGATTTGGGTTTGGGGATTGGACTCAAAATTCATTATTGTATATGAGGATTGCTGTTGTAATAATGGAATTATAACCTCTTTCTTTCAAATCCACCAATAGACAGCTCTCAAATCCTACATGGATCTTGTGAAATTTAGACTTAAGTTGTAATCCTGGTTGATGAAATCGAAATCAATTCATTTCAAATTTATAAATCCAGTGACAACCTCAAGTAGTTGGTCATGCCCTTTTGAACGCAGACATTTTCTTAGGATAGAAGGTTTCTTCTTCTTCCTACTATTTATTTATTTATTTGTAATACTAGAATAGTCAACTCGTGAGCAGGGTGGAGGTTCAAACATTTCTATCTGTTAACATTCTGTTTTTTCATCCCAAATATGTATATGGGTTCCACATAAAGTACGGTTACTGCTTAGTAGTTACATATTTTGATTATTTTCACGGACTTACCTGCATTTGTATCTATAATTTTCATCCCATCCCATCCCATCCTTTATGATCTCTGGGCCTGTCCCACTTTTATTTCTTCTGTCAATCCTTCCAACCAGTCCCTTTACTAGTAAGCCTCTCCAAGTGAAAGAGGAAGCCTTGCAACAGACAAGGCTAGAACTTATCTATGATTGGGATTTTAACTGAAAATGGTTAACTATTATTTGCCACTGAATACCCCTAGGTCCTTTTCCCTATCTTTTGCTGGCTGAGAAATTAACTATTTTAGGTTCTACACTATTTTACTGTTATTGTTTTATGAACTTATTTTTGTATATGTGGACAGATTTATTTTCAAGATCTTTCTTTACAACCAGAGCTTAAGCTTATAAGTGCATCGTGCTCTCCAATTGTTGATCCACATCTTTCACCTGATGGTACCATGCTTGCTTATGTGAAGAATTATGAGTTGCATGTGTTAAACCTGTTGTACAACGAGTCAAAGCAGTTGACATTTGGCGCTGACGGAAATGTTTTGGTAAGCTTTAGTTTCCCGGTTTCCTTGCTTCATGAATTGATTATTTTCCATACATCAGATGCTATCTATAGCATTATAAAGTGGTGATGCCTATGAGACTCTCTTAAGTGATGTGCATATCTGGTTCTGTGATGGTCATAAAATTCAACCATTAGGCCCATTTGTTTTTGTTCCTGGTAATTTATTGTCTGATCTGTTTCATTGATGGAATTATTCTCTTTTCAACCACTAGCCTTTTTGTGAATATTTAAAAGATTAAGGGTCTGAGTGAGAAGACTTCAATCATTTTGACATTGTTGTTCTTCTCTTTAGCATGAATGACATGCTAATTAGATCCAAAGATTTGCGAGTTAGCTCCATTTTTGAAAAGTGAGCAAGGGGCGCCGCATCGACACCTGGGTGCGGTGAAAAATAGGCAAAGGTTCCCGCATTTTCTGGACGAGTGCAGGTAAAGAAGTTAGTTCAAGACTATAGGTTTAGGGTAGCCACTTGGAATATAGGAACCTTAATTGGTAAGACGATGGAATTGGTAGATGTTATGATTAGGAGGACAGTTAGTATAACTTGCGTACAAGAAACTGAGAAAGTTAGGCAAATTGAGGATACCGGCTTTAAAATGTATTATAGTGGTAAGGATAGACGCAGGAATGATGTAGGAATCCTAATTGCCAAGGATCTGGTAAAGAATGTAGTAGCGGTCATTAGCAAAAGGAATATGATTATGTTAGTTAAACTAGTTATTGGAAGGAATATAGTGAACGTTATTAGTGCATACACCCCTCAAGTAGGATTAGATGATCAGACTAAGAGGGATTTTTGGGAGCAAATAGATGAGATCTTATAGGAGATATCCGTAGGAGAGAACCTAGTTATAGGTGGAGATTTTAATGGCCATGTAGGCATAAATAAATTAGGCTTTGAAAGGGTGCATGGTGGGTACAGTTTTGCTGACAGGAATGAGGCTAGAGAGAATATCTTAGATTTCGCATTGGCTTCTGACCTGGTGGTGGGTGGTGGCCAATACTATGTATAAGAAAAGGGAGAAGCATTTGATAACCTTGGGTCAGTGAAGAGCCAAATAGATTACTTCTTAGTGAGAAAAGTGGACCGCCTAAAATGCAATGATTATAAGGTGATTCCTGGAGAGAGCCGGGCCTCTCAACATAGGATTTTGGTAGTAGATTTATGTTTTAAAGGGCAATACCAAGTTAGGAAGGATGGTGGACGTCGTAGGATAAGATGGTGGGACTTAAAAGGGGATAAACTATAAATATTTAAGAATAGAATGAATAAGGAACGTACTTGGGACTTGGAAGATGATGCTAACACTATGTGGAACTTGATAGCCATTGTATGAGAAGAATCTCAAAGGAAGTGCTTGGAGAGTCGAAAGGAACGGGACCCAACTCTAGGGAAACTTGGTGGTGGAGGGAAAAGGTTTAAGCGGTAGTTAAGGCAAAAGAAGAGTGCTTTAAAAAGGGAGAGAATGATAGAACTGAAGAAAATCTTAAGAGCTATAGATTGGCTAATAAGGAGGTAAAGAAAGTAGAGAGAGAAGCTAAGTTGAAAATTTATAATGACCTATACACTAGACTAGATAGTAAGGAGGGAGAGAAGAGGGTACACAAACTTGCTAACATATGGGAGAGGAAAACAAGTGATTTTAATCTAGTTAAGTGCATCAAAAGTGAGTATTCTAAGGCATTGGTGAAGGATGAAGAGATTAAGGAAAGATGGAAGAATTATTTTGAGAAACTATTAAATGAGAAATATGGAGGTACGTCAATAGAGAAGCAAATAGCTAATAATACGATAAATCAAGACTATAGGTTCTATCGCAAGATTAGGAACTTTGAAGTGGAGATTGTATTTAAGAAGATGAAATCAAATAAGGCTTTAGGACTTGGTGATATCCCCATTGAAGCTTGGAAGTGTTTGGATAAAAAGGGGATTGCTTAGTTGACTAGGTTGTTTAACAAAATTTTGTTGACTAGGAACATGCCAGATGAGTGGAGGAAGAATATTTTAGTGCCAATTTATAAGAATAAAGGAGATGTCCTAAATTGCAATAACTATAGAAGAATCAAGCTAATGTGTCATATAATGAAAGTGTGGGAGAGGATGATGGAACGCTGATTGCGAGATATAACAGAGGTGTCAAAGAATCAATTTGGGTTTATGCTTGGCAGGTCAACAATGGAAGCGATCTATCTTTTGAGGAGAGTGATAGAAAAGTATATAGAAAAGAAAAGAGACATTCATATGGTGTTTATCGATCTTGAGAAAGCATATGATAGAGTACCTCGAGATATAATATGATGGGTGCTAGAGAAGAAAGAGGTGACAAAATGTTACATTGATGTAATTAGGGACATGTTTGAAGGGGGGTGACCACTATTAGATCGCTTGCTGGAGAGACAAATGAATTTCCTATTACTGTAGGGTTACGCCAAGGATCTACCTTAAGTCCTTATCTTTTTGCTTTAGTTATGGATGAGTTGACGAGAAATATTCAGGATGACGTGCCATAGTGTGTGCTTTTTGCAGACGATATCATGCTAGTAGATGAGACTAGAGAAGGAGTTAACACAAAGTTGGAGATTTGGAGAAAAGTACTTGAATCTAAAAGATTCCGGATAAGTAGAACTAAGACAGAGTATATGAAGTGTAAATTTAGTAACAGTAACAATGAAAGCAGAGGAGAAGTGAAGATTGAGAACCAAAAACTGCCTAAGAGTGAATATTTTCATTATTTAGGGTTGATTATCACAATAGCAGGAGAGATTGATGCGGATGTGGCCCATAGGATTAAGGCGGGATGGTATAAGTAGAGAAGCGTGTCTGGGGTACAGTGCGATAAACGAATATTCACTAGACTAAAATGTAAGTTCTATAGAATGACTATTAAACCAGCGATGTTGTATGGGACGCGGAGTGTTGGGCAACCAAGAAACAACATGTAGATAAGATGAATGTGGCTGAGATGAGGATGCTAAGGTGGATGTGTGGCAAGACTAGATAAGACAGAATTAGGATTGAGTGTATTCGAGAATGGGTAGGAGTAGCACCGATAGAAGATAAGTTGAGAGAGAATCAATTGAGATGGTTCCGTCATATTCAACGGAGACCAACAAAGGTAATAGTGAAGAGATGCGATGCAGTGACGGTAGATGAAAGTGGTAGGGGACTGGGTAAGCCTAGATTAACATTGGCTAGCGTTGTAAATAGAGATATGGATCTATTTAATTTGACTAACGAAATGGCCTTTGGTAAAGCCGCGTGGAGAAGAAGGATTCATATAGCCGACCCCATTTGAGGGGACTTAAGGCTTGGTTTGGTAAAGAAATTTAAGTACTCATATATTGTATGTATCATGTCATGTATTGATGTATTGCATATTATTGTATATGTATCATAAGATGAATTTAAGTATCACGATGCATATTATTGTATATATATCGTAAGATATATTTAAATTAAGATACGTATTGATGCTATGCATCGTGAATCCTAAGATACTGACAACACTTTAATATATTTGTAACTCATGACTTTTGTGATGGCATGTTTGTGGTGTTGGTTGAGTTTGATATATTCTGAGGTAGATTAGACAATTATGATTCTAAGCTTATGATGAACTTAAGAATTCCTTCTGGAATATGGAATTAATTTCTTGTTTTATATTTCAGGTTCATGGTCTTGCTGAATACATAGCCCAGGTGAGATTATGAGTCTCTCTTTCTTGCAGTGTTCGTACAACTTTTGTTTAACATATTGCAAGCACTAATCTTGCATTTCATCATCATCAGAAGAATCAAAGCAATTTTTTTCTACTCAAAGCATTGTAAAATTACTAATAAAATGATTCTTTAATCAATACATTGTATGTCTAATTCATATTTCATGCTTTGGTGTTATACTGACTGTAGGAAGAGATGGATCGAAAGAATGGATATTGGTGGTCTCTGGACAGCAAATTTATAGCATTCACAGAAGTTGATTCATCTGAGATACCACTATTTAGAATCATGCACCAGGGTAAAAGTACAGTTGGTCCTACATTGTATGTCTAATTCATATTCATGCTTTGGTGTTATACTGACTGTAGGAAGAGATGGATCGAAAGAATGGATATTGGTGGTCTCTGGACAGCAAATTTATAGCATTCACAGAAGTTGATTCATCTGAGATACCACTATTTAGAATCATGCACCAGGGTAAAAGTACAGTTGGTCCTGAGGCCCAGGAAGACCATGCTTATCCCTTTGCAGGGGCTTCAAATGTCAAGGTCCGCCTTGGGGTGATTTGTTCCACTGGAGGACCTGTAACTTGGATGGATCTTCACTGTGGAGAAAAGGATCAAACAAATAATGATGAGGAATATTTGGCAAGAGTAAATTGGATGCATGGAAATATTCTTATTGCTCAGGTTTTGAACAGATCACATTCTAAACTTACAATCCTCAGGTTTGATATCAAAACTGGTCAAAGAAAAGTTATAATGGTCGAAGAACTAGACACGTGGATTAATCTGCATGATTGTTTCACTCCTTTAGACAAAGGACTCACCAAATTATCTGGGGGGTTTATTTGGGCCAGTGAGAGAACTGGATTCAGACACCTTTATCTGCATGATACGAATGGAGCTTGCTTGGGACCTTTAACCGAAGGTGATTGGATGGTTGAGCAAATTACTGGTGTAAATGAGGCTGCAGGATTTGTATATTTCACTGGCACTCGAGACGGGCCTTTGGAATCTCATCTTTATTGTGCTGAATTGTTCCCAGATGGGAGCGATCCCCTGCAGGCGCCGCAGAGATTGACTAATGGGAAAGGAAGACACATAGTTGTTCTTGATCATCAAATGCAGAGATTTGTGGATATTCATGATTCCTTGGATTCTCCACCTAGAATTTTGATTTGCTCTTTGCAGGATGGAAGCTTAATAATGCCTCTGTACGAACAACCGTTCACAATTCCAAGATTCAAAAGGCTTCAACTTGAGCCTCCAGAGATTTTTCAAATTCAAGCAAATGATGGGACTATTTTATATGGGGCATTATACAAACCTAATGTAACAAAGTTTGGACCTCCACCATACAAAACCTTGATTAATGTATATGGTGGTCCAAGTGTGCAGCTTGTTTGTGATTCTTGGACAAACACTGTTGATATGAGAGCTCAGTATCTCAGGAGCAAAGGCATCTTAGTATGGAAGGTATCTACTGAACCCAATATCTTAGATTCTTACTATCTTCACTAAAACTTCAGTTTACAAATTTACTTGGGATGTTTCTTTCTTGAAGCTGCTTCCACAGGCACCCTAATTATGCAAGCCTGTCCTTTTTGGGCCTCCATGCATTTTGTGTACTGTCTTAGCAACTAGTAGTCTGATTGAAATGTGAATCCAACAATTTTGGCATTTCGATTTTATAAATATAATTTGATGTCTTTATTGCTGCTGGCACAGTAGAATAGTTCACTTTGATATCAATTCTCCAGTGTACTCCCTATAAGTTAATTGGAAAAGGAAAAGAAAGAATCAACTCGGTCTTCATCCCAACTGCTTTGCATTTTTTACAGTTAGATAACAGAGGAACTGCTCGTCGTGGGCTTAAGTTTGAAGGCTCACTCAAGTACAACTTTGGTCACATTGATGCTGGGGATCAGGTGATTGGAGCTGAATGGCTCATCAAGCAAGGGCTAGCAAAAGTTGGCCATATTGGCTTGTATGGATGGAGCTATGGTGGATATCTCTCAGCCATGAGTTTAGCCAGGTTTCCTGACATCTTCAGCTGTGCTGTTTCTGGGGCCCCTGTTACATCATGGGACGGGTATGACACATTTTACACAGAAAAGTATATGGGTTTGCCCTCTGAGAATAGAGAAGGTTACAAGTTGAGCTCAGTGATGCACCATGTGGACAAGATCAAAGGGAAGTTGTTACTCGTGCATGGCATGATTGATGAAAACGTGCATTTTAGACACACTGCAAGGCTTGTGAATGCACTTGTGGCAACTGGAAAGCCTTATGAATTGTTAATTTTCCCCGATGAGCGTCACATGCCTCGCCGGCTCCAGGACCGAATTTACATGGAGGAGAGAGTTTGGGACTTCATAGAGAAGAATTTGTGAATGATCTTTGCTACTCTGGTTTGTTTCGCTTTGTTGTTGTTGAGGCTGAAAAGTTTATTAGGGCTCATTATTTTGAGCAGAGAGTATTAAACTTTCCATCTTAAGTTTTTGCATTTTCTATGATAAAACAGGAAGGTTGTCCTTGTAACACGTTGACCCCTTTTGATGTGCGCTCTTGAAACTTGTTGAATTATGCAGTTGGTGCCTATGTATCAACACTGAACTAGTGTACAAAAATCAAGATGAATTGGTTTTGTTAGTGAGAGTCCAATGTGTTCACCATATCTGCTTTTGGGAATTTTTGGCAGCAGAATTTTTTTGTGATGAAAAGTAGTCTGACATATAAATTGTTTGGTGAATTTTTTAGGGTTTCACTTTTATTTGTTTTTTCAGCTGAAAAAACTTGAAAGTAAGCTCAGAAAGTTGACTTCTGTGAAAGTGAGTTTAAATGTTATTTATTTATTTTTTATGCCTTTTATTTTTATTTTTATTTTTAAGTTACAATAAATTTTGCCAAACAACGGTGGATGTTATGTACCACTCAGTAACCACCTTTAGTCCTTATTGTGATACGACAATGCTACGTAGCTCAAATTTTGTGATTCAAAAGTGGCTCAAATGGTCAAAACGACGTCGTTTTGAGTACATAACAACATAAACGTTTTGGCCATTTGAGTCACTTTTGAGCCACAAAATTTGAATTACGAGACATTTTCCATTGTGATATTATATAGAAAAATGTATGAATGGCATAATTTCCTATCTTTAATTCATTTAAAATTTGAGTATCATTGATGAGCATGTAATTTAAGGATGAGTTTTGTAAAAGATGCAACAAACAACAAAAATTTGAAAACCAAACTAGGACTCTTGTTTGCTGCACACATTAGGGTTTCAACATTTCTTCTTGAGTGTCGATACCACTGTCTTGAGGGTCGAACCCTTTGAGTAAATTTCAGTTTTTTGGGTACGGTTTGGGCCCTATTTTTTGGAGGTATTGACTTATTCTTTTCATTGACTCTGGGACTATTATTCTACTACTATAAATAGGCTCCAAACACACTTTTTTCATTAATTTTTTTTTCTCTCTCTCTCTTTTTTCATCTCTACACCGTGAGTCTCCATTCTCTCTCTCTTTCTCTCTAAACTCAACTTTTTTACTTAGATCTTTAGATCTACTCACATTAGAGCTATCTTTTCACTTTGTTTCTTTGAGAAAGATTGTAGATCTCGTCAAGGGCTTTCTTTTGATCGAAGTAATTCGTGGTTTCGTCGCTAGGGATTTTTGGGTTGTCTCCTCTTCGCTTCAAGTGGTAGGGATTTCTTTGGTCCTTTTCAATACCTCATCTGTAGATAGACATGTGGTAGATTTTATTACATAAAAATCATATTCATTATGGGTTTCCTTGAAAGTTATGAAAATGGATCTAGGTTTGATATTTGTGATTGAAGTTGTTTAGTTGGTTGTTGTTTGGGTTAATTGGAGAGTAGTTTAACATGTTTATGTTGAGAGGGAGGAAAACACTAATTTAATATTGTTGACTTAATGGATTTAAAAGGGAGAGAGTTGAATAATCTTTTGTAATTTGTTAATATGGATTGTGTAATTGCGTTCATATCTAAAAGGGAGAAGTAACCATGGTATTGAAATTGTTTGGATTAATCATGTTGAGTGGGGTTGGGTTATGGCTTTGGCATCAAGGATGTGGTTTTTAATTAAATGAAGAGAATGGAGTTTTAGAAAATGATTGGAGTAGTGTGGATTTGAAAATAAGGAAATTTGTTTTTTTTTTTTTGGAAAGAAAATGAAATCATAACCCTTCGTGAATTAATAATGAACTTGGAGTCGGATTTTGAGACATTTACATATTATTATTATTATTATTATTATTATTATTATTATTATTATTATTATTATTGGACTGAAGGTCTTGTGGGAATTGGATTGTTGTCTTATGTGTATTTAATACATATGCTTAGAGGTTTTGTCATTGGTCATCGGTGGAGGATGACATGGTTGCGTTGAATAATATCGTGTATGTAGTATACTTGTGTTATTATGCATTCTAGTATGTTAAGATGGTTGAAAATGTTCACGCGTTGAGAATAAAAGGTACCATTACCTTCCTGTTAGTGCTTGGAGAATTGGCCACGCTTAGAATGAGAGGTACCAGTACCTTCCAGCTAGTGCTTGGAGAACTTGGCAGAGGTACCATTACCATCCAGCCGGTGTCTGGTAAATTGGCAGAGATACCATTACCTTCTAGCTTGTGTCTGGCAAATTGACATTTCGTTATGGAAAGGTATCCTTGGCCTACCGTGCTTAAGGCAGGTAGAGCATTGTTTTGCTTCTCATTGTCTCGGTGTATCCTTATATATCATGAGTAGGTGATGGTTGTGGTTGGGTGAGGCCGGGTTGTTTTATGTGATAGTGTAGTAATCATTGTACATGTATTAATTTCGTATTCATGTTAGATTATATATGTATTTACATAGGCGTATTGAATGAGTCGTCGAAAGTGTTTCTTGACCATTGATTTAGGGCCAAGGGAATGTGATGAATGTATCAAAAGTGAACTTATGTTTTGTATTGGGTGTAAATAATGAGAAGTAATTGGGTTTTTATGAAAGTATTTTTAAAACAACCAGTTGTGATGCATTATTTATAAATGGGAAATGAGAAAGAAATGTGAATTGTTTGTGTTATTGGGCAAATTGAATGATTTTTAGAAAAGTACCTGTATAAGTATATTTTCAGTGTAAACGGTCACATTATGTATATGATATGATTTAAAGCATTCATGATCGTAGCTATCTATATGTTGTTATTGTTTAGGATCATGTTGAGATCCCTATTGGACTTTATGTTCATCCCACATTGCTAATCCTTTTTCAAGTGATCGTCGAGAAGTGTTTCAAGATCGAGGATCTTCTTTTTTTGTTGGCCACGGGGCCTTTTATTTGTGGGCAGAATGCCATTGATGTAAAAGGGTTAAACCCTTTCTTTTAATTTAAAAGATGTAAGCCTACATGCAATTTATTTAATTATAACTCATGTTGCATTCATATTGTATTCGAATGAGAAAGTCTTTATTAATGTGTTCTTGTTGATGTAAAGAGCTTCCACATGTTATCTCTGGCATTGAATCTGTAATAATGGTTTGGTAATAGAATCCGAGTAACAAAAAGTGAGGTGTGACAAGGAAAATCAAGTCAAACACACTATTGGTGTAAAACTATCAATGACGCACTATTGGTGTAAAACTGTCATGACTTGCATTAGTGAACTGTTTAATTATAATATTAAGATGATTACCAAATTAAAGTAAGGTTGGATATGGTTATTGCCGCCTAATATTTTTCTTATTAAATTTTGACTAAATTATCATATGAACAAACTGGAAGAATGTAATACTAAATTTAATTATGGGTGAATTACACTAACGATCCCTATAGCGATTCTGGTTTAGACTTGACCCATTTGATATTCTAGATCTGAGTTTTATTGTCTTATACGATTGTTCATGTTTTATTTAGCTTTATTCCTAATTGAGATTGAGTATTGGAGTGTCTTGGTTGCGTTTGGAACAGGTCGAGAGTTAGTTTTTCAAAATAGTTCCTGCCCAGATTTTGGCTTCTTCACTCGAGCGACACTTCTTGCGCTTGAGCGGTCTTTGAGAACTCTCAGTACTTTTGCAAGCCTGCAAAACTACTGAAAGTTGGCATTCTACGCTCGAGCGGTCATTCTTGCGCTTGAGCAGTCGTTTTTGAGCTCAAGCAATGGTCCTCTATCTGTAAAACTTTTAGGAGTTTGTAATCGTCGCTCGAGCGGTAAACTTATTCGCTCGAGTAGTCTCACTTATTGTGTCTGGTCTCTCGAGCAACACTTCTTGCGCTCGAGCGGTCTGCGCGTATATCAGATCATAAAGTCACCTTTTTGAGTCACTTTTTCATCTCTAAACATCTCAAAACCTTATTTTCTCTCTCATTCTCTCTCTAAAACTCACATTCTCTCTATAAATACACCTAGATCCATTGATTTCTCAACCCTATTCTTTTTGTTAAAAAGGTAGAGCTTATCTAGAGTTTCGTTCTAATCGGAACAACGTTGGGTTTCGGTGTTTTTGAAGTTTCTCTACTCTTTGTCTCGTTTTCTAAGCTTAAGGTAGGGATTTCTTTGCACTTTCTTATGATTTTTAATTTAGCTATTTTTGTTTTGAAACAATATTGTGATTTGGAAAATTTTGGACAAATCTAGGGTTTTGGGTTAAAAATCAAAAGAGGGGTTTTCAAATGGATTCTTGAAAATGGTTATGAGATTGGAAATAAGGTTGAGTTGTGATAAATGGTTAGTCTTTATACTTGGAATTGATTTTGGAATGAAATGAGGTTTTGCCCTAAATATCTTAAATGTTGATTTTGTATAAATAAATGAAATTGCTGTTAAAAATATGAAATTGGATTGATGTTAATGAGGATGGTGGAGTTGGGTATGTATTAGCACTCACATCTTGGAATTTGAAAAGTTTATCTTTATGAAAATTAATTATCTGTTTAGAGATATCTGTTTTGAGCTATCAGTGAATGATAGCTATGATTGTTGTAGAAATTGTATGAGAATTAGGAGAATTGAAACTATTTTCTTATCCAGTGCATTAAGTATTATTGCATACTTAACACATTGAAAATGTTGTCGTTTTGAGAAAAAAATGGTGAATACCTTGGTGAATCTAGGTAGGAGTGTAGTTGTAGTATTAAGTTGGCCTGTGTGTCCTTAGTGAAAGTCCAGAAACCCGCGCGGTTAGGTGTCGAGCCTTCTGATTAATGCCGATAAAAATGACAAATTGGTAGTGTTTGTAGCCTACATGTAAACATGTCTTAGAGATTCATAGTGTTGTATTCATTACCCTGTTTTCTATTGTAAAGGAAATGATAGCATGATTTGAGATATAATCTTGGCATTCCATGGTTTTGGAAAGAGAAATGACAATGTTTTGGCACGAGCATTGTACATGCATTCACTTTATATCTTTGTTAAGATTCATAAACTGTGTTGTAGTATCTCTATTGGGTTTTAGCTTACCTTATATGAGAAAACCATTTTCAGGTGTTGATGATATACCTCCGCTAAGGACATATGGGAGGAACTTGGAGATGAAGGCTTCTTTTTGTGTTAATTGTTGTATTTATTTTTGTACAAGCCAATGGCTTAAATTTTGTTGAATTTAAATCCATTTTGTCGTAACCAAGTATTGTCTTGGAAAGCTGTAAGCTTTTAGGGTAT